CTTTATTTTGTTTGGGGCCCCCCCTCATGGAGGACCCGGGTGTTTTTTTTTTGGGCCCATTTTAAAGGCAAACCCCCCCGGGCTTCAGGGGTTTTTTTTTGGGGCTCAAATTAATTGTTTTTTTTTTTTTTACAAAAGGGAGGGGGGGGGCCCCCCCCATGAAAAGGGGGTTTGGCCCCGTTCCCCTTTTTTCCCGGCTAGTACTGCTTTTTTTGGTTTTTTTTCCCTTTTGCCAAAAAATTTTCTTTTTTTTTGTGGGGTTTTTCCCCCAACCGGCCCAAAGGTTTTTTGGTTTTTAATTTTTTCCCCCCCCCCCCCCCCCAAATACAAGGGACGTACAGGGAGATGTTTGAGGCATGGAATAGAGAGGAGAGGACGGTAGCTGTACTGGGGAGTAGGAAGTGGAAAGGGCGGGAAGGGATATCGTTAGGATAGACAGACTAGGGAAGACATTTTTTAGTCACCTTTGGCAAAGTAGGAAGGAACGATTGGCCATCGGTGATCGATCCTGTGGGAACAATGCTCCGTCCTCTCGAGGACGCGTGATCAATGGTCTAACCGCTAAGGCATGCAAAACATAAGAGTACACCCCCCCCCCCCCGCCTTTTTTCTTCCTGTCGTCGTGCGCCTTTTTTTTTCACTCCCCACCCGCCGCCGGCGACCCGTTCGCTCTGCAAGGGGGTATTTGCTACCGTGTGCCTCCCGGTCCTCTTCACCCTGTGCACTACGGTCGCCTACGCCTGGATCAACGCCGGCGCCGCCGACGGGGGCGGCGGCGGTACCGCCAGCGCCTCGCAAGCCTGTGCAACGCCTTCTCTAGTCGGACCCGAGGAGGGCGAGTCTTTCGAAGGCGAGTGTGGGGTGTACCATGGCGGCGGAGCGGCCGCGTGCGGCCGATTGCGGCTGGAAGAGCTCGCCTTGGCGGCACTCTGGCGGACGGCGGCGGCCGTGTGGGCCCTGGCCTCGCGGGCCCTGAGGCCGGAGGCCGGGGACTGGGCCGCGGCGGCGGTGGCGGTGGTGAGCCTGTGCTCGGTGTCGTTCTTCGCCGTGCCGACCTTCCGAGCGCTCGAGGACGCCGAGAGGACTTATCAGGTGTGTGAGAATGGGGCTAAGGTGGGCAGCGGGACCGTTACTGGTTGGCGTTTGCGTGTAGCTGTTGGCGGACAGCGTGTAGCTGTTGGGGGGGAGGGTTACGCCGTAGTACCTAGACCATTGATCTCGCATTCCCATACTACAAAGCCGGAACGGAGCGCGACGGCGTGGGGGGTGGCGGCTTTGCGAAATTCCGCGCTCCGTGATGTGTGCACACGTTTTTGTCGGGTGGCTGGACGAGGAGGAAGGAACGGGTCGTCCCACGTGCTACTTTAGATAGACTAAACGTACCTCCTGGAGGCGATACAGCAGGCGTGGCATGAGATGTGTCAAGCTGATTGATGGCTTGCTGTAATCCCCTGGCGACACCTGCTTCACGCGTGGCCCCTGTTGCAGTCTGATGAGGCCTACGCTAGGTATCCTCGAGATCCCTCGAGGCAGAGCCGCGTGTCTTCCCTTCCCGCCGTTGTTCCTGTGTCGTAGGCGCGTGCGGTTTTGAGGTTCACTCAGCCGCACAAGTAGATGCATGGACCCCGACCGCCATTTTCCTTTTTAATGACGCAGTACATTACCCCGGTCCAGCTTATTTTTGGCCCTTCCCCGCCCCCGTCTACCTCGTGCCTGCGCGCTCTTCTCTTGCCGTCCCACGCCCTAACAACAACAACACACAGCGGCGCTACATGTACTCCAAGTACTTCTGCGCCCTGACCTCCTCGCAGCGCGCGAGGAAGCACCGCATCCCCCACTTCTCCCTCAAGAACGTGGCCAACATCCGTGTGTGGCTGGCCCTGAGGGCCGGCAAGACCTGGCTCCGGCGCCACCGGCGGGAGCGCAAGGCCGATGCGGTGGTGTCGTCGGCGTTCTTCCTGTCCCTCGCCCTCCTGGCCGCGATTCTGTCGGAGGCGATCAGCAGGGAGTCCCGCTTCCTATCGACGGTGGTGCACTGGGAGGTGGGGGGGCTTGGTTGAGGCTTTAAGGGTCGGAAGTTGTGCGCTTGTTTTTATTTTGTCTCTGGCCGCTGTTTTGATGTATGGAGCTGGTGCGGGCAGGACCGGGGCCTCCTCGAGATGCGACACACACCAACCAACCGATTATCGCAGGCCCCCATGTGTCTGCTTTTTGTCTCACCTATGTGCTGCTGCCGTCTTGCTTCCCTCCCCCCCTCCCTCCCTCTCGAGGACGCGGGGTCAACGGTCCAACCGCTAAGGCATGCGAAACGTAAAGAGTACACTCCCTTTCTCCCCTTTCCCGCGCCTCAATCCGCCCAGCTGCTGGTGTGGTGCTGCTTCATCAGCTTCTTCCTGCTGCGGTACCTGACTCTGGGTTCCAACACAAACAACCGATATCGAGACACGAGCGTCCTGCTGACGGAGCAGATCAACGTGCAGCTCAGGGTCCTGCAGAACACCAGCAACAAGGAGGCTTCCAAAAAGGTGTGTGTGTGGGTGTGCGTACTGCTGTAGCTTGATTTTTTTTTTAGCGTCGACTGCGCTATCGCCGGTGGGCCAATGATAATTCGTCAGTCTCCGTGCGGCTGAAAGATGTTTGTGTGTGTGTATGTGTGTATTTGTGTTTGTGTTTCTAATTACCATAGACCGTTCTAGCCAGCTGAAAGGTAGTCACCGTTTTTCGAGCAAGGGGCAACCAACTCGACGGCTGTTTTCTGTCCGTCTGTGTACGATTCCAGCTTGACGCTGTCGTCCGCATGCGAATCCGCAGATCGATGTGCTGTACGCATGCGCCCTGTCCCCAGCACACGTGTGGACGGGACGGTACCAGGCTTTGGTCGAAGCATGTGCGCCCGTTTGCTTTTTTTTTCTTCGATTTCCTTGCCGGTCATTCAGGCATGGTAATTTGTACATTTTCCTGCTGATCGTGGAGGAAAAAAATGTTCTTTCATTATTCTGGATGGGAGAAATGTCATCCCCGCCCCCCCACCCCGTCCCGGCTATGTAGGGATGCGAGGTCAATGGTCTAACGAACGACTACGGCATGCACGACTATGAGCACACACACACACACACACACACACACACACACACACACACACACCGCCTCCAACTCCGCGCAATACGTGCACTTGCACCAACGCATTCTGAACCCGGCGTACGATCACGAACAAAAAATAGGTGATCAAGCGGGAACGGCTGGGAGTGTCGACCAACGTCCTAAAGCTGGCCACGAAGCTCCTCAAGGAGCTCGACGGCCCCAACAAGTTGTCCGGCCTTTCGATGAACCCGGTGCTGTACAACGTGACCCGGGTGGTTCTCGTGTCGGCCCTGTCCGGAGTGATGAGCGACACCCTCGGCTTTAGCGTAAAGCTGTGGAAGGTCATCTCCTTCAAGTGAAGGGAGGGGAGGGCGAGGTCGTCTTTCCTTTCGGGTCGGTTTGTCGTGCCTTGGAAACGAAGCTGTACTATGCATACTACCGACATCTATGGGTGGATCGCTTTATGTGCCTTGGATTTGAAAATGTACTGTGAAGTACTACTATACCGACATGTGCGGGTGCGTCACTTTGTGTACCTTGGGAACGAAGTTGTACTACTACCATCATCTATGGGTAGGTCGCTTTATGTGCCTTGGATTTGAAAGTGTACTACCAACGCGTGCGTGGGTCCTGTAAGCGGGATCGCTGTGTTCAGCCTTCTTGTTTTTATTTCTTCGTCAAGAAGGGAGTTGGGTTTGTCGAGTGCGTCCCCTTGGCTGTCAGCGGAGTTTCATGTTACGTGTCCCCGTGCATAACTGGCGCGCGCGTCATGTTTTTCGTGCTGTACAAGTGTGCAGGAAGAGGAAGTTGAATAGAAATGGAGAATGAAGACGTGGACGGACAACTTTCTTTCTTTATACTTATATCGTGTGATTTGTATGTGCAATACGTTGGGCAGCGGCGAAAACCGCGGACGCTTGCACAAGCCCCCTTCTTCTCGTCGCTTGGATTTTTATCTCCCGAGAGGGCTGTGCACCGTTTCTTAGAAGAAGATGCTGTCAGCGCTGACGACGTCCATCTTTCTTCTTGAATCTGCTGTACGCGGAGAGCTGCCTCAGTCTGGCCAAGGCGGGACTGCTCTGCGTCTGTTTTATTTTGTTGTGGGGCTGTTTTCCTCCCTTGTGGTTATTTGTCCGCTTTTGGTCATCATTATGTGTTAGTGTTCATGAAAACAGATGCAAGCTTCTCCCCCTTCGGAGGGGGGTCAGCAGTGGCCCCGCCATCATTCGCACTCGAATGGAGCACTGCCTGTGTTTTTTGGTTTGTTTTTAAGTCTCAGGTGTAAGGGCGAGACACCCCCCTCTCCCGGGTAACATGCGGCGGGCGGGCGGGCGTGTGTTGTGTTTTTTCCGCTTCTTGCCTCCTTGCCGTTGTTCTGTCTTGTGGACCCAGGCACACTTAAGTAGTAATCTGCTTGTATCTCCGTATTTTCGGAGATTCTCTGGGCGGTGTTTATGCAGGGTGAAAAATATTTGTGTAGGGTAGATCTTGGCATAGCCGACCACGTGAAACAAGGAGAAGAGGCCTGCCAGGCTGGCATGAAACCCCCAAAGAAATGAGAGTGCAAATATGTCGAGTGCGGCTGTTGCAGGGCGGACGATTCTTGGCGCCGTGTACGTTTGACGGGAGAGTGGGGGTTGCGGGGGTGCCATTTTGGAGGCTTGGGCGGGATGTGAACAACAACACGAGCACCATAGCTAGAACCATAGCTAGAACTAGCGAGGGGCGACCGAGGGTCGAACATAGAAGGAAGGTGTGCTGTAAATTACTGTTCAAAAATTGTTGGTTCTGCGAGAGATGTGTACAGACGTACGTGTTGGAAGAAGAAAGCGTTGGGTTTCGTACATACATGCATGCGGACTTTGTTTTTACATTGTTGGTGAGCTTCCTTTCCCCCCCGCCCACCACGAGGGAGCGTGGTTTGTTTGCGGCCGGTAACTTATTTCTGTGCCGAGCGAATCCGTTTTTGGTGCGTGGCATGTTCTGGTTGGCAAACTTCTCGAAACTCCGGCTCCGTCCGGACGAAGCTACTGCTGTACCATGCTGCGGGTGCGAGTGCAACGTTGGAATGTTCACGCCGCAGCAAGAAGAGAGACAGAGTGCTTGCGATCATGGTACGCTTCTTGAGCGTGCTGCACTATTCTCGCGTCAAGAATCGAAAGCCAAAGCACCGCAGTAGGAGGGGTGTGGATACGGGAGAGGGGGACCCTCCTGTCTGTGTGGCCGCGGATCCTACCGGGTGGATATGCTGTGAATGCTGATTAAAAGTGATGGCAAAACAGAAGAAAAAATGAAAAATCATACGTACAAGGAGGACGCGTCCGGGGAAGGTGTGGGGGGCGGGCTCATTCCCGTGTAGGTGTTGTCTGTCCCAGCAAGTGCACAGGCAACACAGTAATGGTGGACGTGCGTGCTCTGGGACGGTTTTGTTTCTGTTCTTCTTTTGCGCGGATGGGTGTCATTGGTCGTCTCTCTGTTAAGTTTTTATTGTCAACCGTGTGGATGCATGTTTGACAACACCGAAAGATGCGTTGTATTTTGTCGCACCGTCTCGGTCGGTCGGCGCGAAATACGTTTGTGTGGCGTCGCCGTCAGAGGGTGGATTGGTCGGGATACAGCAGTACCCTGAACGTGTTCGTGCGGACGCCGCCGGTGGTACCCGTGTGCCTTCCCCACCCCCAAGAAACAAACACTCGCTCCCCGTTTCTTGTTAGGCGCCTCTCCAAGAGAATGGGTGGTCTCCTTCTTCGTGGTCTAATCGCTCTCTCGTTGTGATCCGTTCAGCTTGTGCTCAGGTTCTGATGCGCCAAAAGTTTGTTGGAAGCGACAGTGGGGAGTACTGCGAAATGCTCTATGGCTGTTTCTACGCATTGGATACAGCAAGGGTGCGAAGCTTGGCACAGGGGCGTCAGCGTTTTCTATTGCTTGATGGCCCCACAACCAGGAGGGTGCGAAAAACAGAAACCCATACAAACGTCTCCGGGAAAGCGCTCGACAGACGGGTCCAAGAACAAACCTGGAGAGTGCGAACACAAACCTATACAACGTTCTCGGGAAAGCATTCGACAGACTAGCTTTCCGAACCAACCCTTTTCGTCCGCGGGTGGTGCCGTCCTGGTCATGGCGCAATAAAGGTTTTTTAAGTTTCAACACCCTCCTTGTGCGAACCTTCGCGTCCTTACGGTACACGCTTCAAATCCGAAATTCAAGCATGATCGACCCTTGGTTTTTCTGTACAACTTCTCGCCAAACAACCACAACAATTCGCGAGGACCTACATGACCAACACGCGACAACACCAAACGCGACAAATTCCTGCCTAGAAAAAATCCTTCTTACCGAGAGCTGCAAACGAACCCAGCTCTTGAAGCGCCCTACACATGTTTTTCACGGCTGGCTCTATAATGTTTTCTGGTACGCTATTGATAAAGACGTGGTCAGCCTCCACTCGAAGTAAGTGTCGGCAGCAGCTCTAACAAGCCACTCGTTTTTATTACGCATGACAACCGATGTCCTCGGGTGGCAAGACACTTGCTTCATGAAGCAAAAGGCAACAACAACGCCTTCTCTATCATTTATTATCCAGGAGGACGGGGACACACACATACTGCCCCTGTTCTTGGCGGTTGCTCCCTAATATCGACCAAGATTCCGTTGGGCGTTGAGGGGCGCTTACTGGCGTCTGCTCCAAATTAGACTAGACTAAGTGCTTACGTAACGTTCTATCTAAACAAAAAACCTAATTTACATCTCACCCCCGAGACTCGCAACTTTAGCCCCTGAAGAGTTTTTTTTAAATAATTTTCTACCGGGTCGGATCATCTGATATCGTAGTTCCAGTCGTCGAACCCCCCTTGCGTAGTTGCATTCACCTCCAACTACTTGTTTTTCTTACCGCCGGATACTACAAGGCCGAGCTGAAGCGCGGAGCGGGTAAAACGCCACAATACTTGCATCTTCTCCTAATCCAGCGGACTACGCCGCTGGCCCGAACGCTCGCACGTTTCTTGGTTTACTCAGTCGCACGCAACAACAATTTCAGCGGGACGATTTCTAACCCTCCGAACCTCTTGGCGACGCCTTGCGTGGTGAAAGAAGCCAAGCGGTGCTCCTCGTCCTCCTCGACGTGATGGTGGTTAGTTAGCACCACAGCGATGCTGCCGGTGTACCCTTTCCCCCGCCTACATCGCCCCTCCCGCTGAACAACCTCTGCTGCATGAGGCCGAAACGCACCGGAAGGACCGGCGAAGTAGGCGTTCCTTCTTCTTCGTCTGTCGCTTCGCGGCGTTCTTCCTCCGCCAATGCTGCTGCTCTTGCTTCGCTTATTGCTGCTGCTGCTGCTGCTGCTGCTGCTGCTGCTGCTGGCTTGTTGGTGCCAGGTTCGGTGCTCGCGTCTTCCCCGCGAGTGGATGGTGCAAAGGAAACCCGCCTTCGAGTGCTGGTGCTGCTAGCGCGACTACTGCTGCTGTTGCCGTTGACCGAGGAGGGGACGGAGACGACGCCGCTTCTTTTTCTCGTGTCTCGAGATAGCTCCTTTCGACGCCGCCAGTAGGGCATGAGCGGGGCACGCCCTTCGTTGGATGTACGCGCGTGATGGTTGTTGATACCATCTTCGCCGTTGTCGCAGTCCCTGGATCCTCCTACCCCTCCCGTCGACAACCCTGCTGGTGGTGAACGGTGACTCCGCGTGCAAGGGCTGCTGCTTCTGGTGCTGCCTCTTCCTCTTCCCCCCACTCGCAGCAGCATCTGCACTGGATTCTCAAGGACGGACTCCGAAAATGGGGCTTTGAGGCAGGAAGGCCTCTCAACGGTCTTCTCTTGTCGCACTTGACTACTGCCCCCATCGCCGCTATTCCCGGCCCTAGCCCCTGTCGCGAAGACTTGTCGTCGAGAGCGCACCGTTTTGAGCCGGTCGACCCCCGACTCCGAGAACGGGGCCGCTGCCACAGGGGCGGCGGTGGTGTGCTGCAGCCGCCCCGCCTCAGCGTGGCATTGACGGAGACCACAATCGCCGTCTTTTTCGCACTCTTTGAGCGCCTCGAGTAAGGCCGGCGACAGGCCAGGCACGAGCGCAGACTTTGCGTGCCACGCCGTCGTCGGGCGGGGTGGGAGAGGAAGGTCCGAAATGGCGGCGGCGGCGGCGGCGGCGGCCGTGGCGGCCGCGCCGCCGGCCGGGTCCTTGTGTCTCGGAGTTGTGCCCTTGAACCCGGGCAGCGCGGGATAGGCCGTCGACGGGGGCAACCGTTCGCTAGGGGGAGCGAGCGCCGGCGTGAAGAGGGATGGACCTATCGCAAGCGGCGACGACGGCTGCGCAGGCGGCGGCGAAGACCACAGCGCCGGTGGCAGCGAAGACGACGACGATGCCTGCCTCTTCCCTCGTCGTTTCCCTTCCTCGTTGCCAGCGCAGCTCCTTCTCGAGCCCGTTTTGTTTCTGCGACCCTCATCCCCGCACCCAACCGGGAACGGGCGCGGTACGGAGGCCCCGTCTCCCACATTCAAACCACCGACGTCTTTGACCCCGCCCTCGTTTCTGTCGGCGTTTCTTTTGTCGCCGGCGGTGCGGTTCTTTCCTCCTCCGGCTGCACAGCGAAGGAGATTGTTGCCGCCCTCGGTGTCGGCCACCTTCGCAGCTGCCACAGCGGCGGCGGCGTCGGGTTTTAACCTTCTGGTCGAACCGAGCTTGCAGTGCGTGCCTCCGGTGGCCTCCAGCTTCTTGCGGAGGGCCTCCCGGAACGCGTCTCCGCTGCAGTCCGCGACGGATTGCTCGACGAAGCCTCCGACCAGGGTCCTCGCCGAGACCTCCGAGCCACGCCGCCGGCAGTTGTCGTCGGGGTCTGGAGGTGAAGCTTCGGAGGAATGGTGGCCGTCACCGGGGCCACGGGCGTGGGCACCGTCGTTCCGCCCCCGCTGCTCCCGCCGACCTCCCAAACGACCCCAGGCGTCGCCGAATGGAACGTCGCCACCGGGGGCAGTCCACGCAGTGCTTCTAGTGACAACAGCAGCAGCGGCAGTAGCGGCAGCAGCGGCAGCAGCAGTCCTTCCTACGCCAGTCAGCAAGAGGGACGGCCGCGGCGATAACGGTGCCAGCGGTGGTGGATTGCCGGGAGAGGCGCTCGCCGCGAGCACTCCGAGACGCTGATCGCCACGGCAATCGTCATCGGAGCGAGTAGCACGGGGCCGGGGGCTTGACATGGACGCTGACGAGTCGGCGGGAAGCAGTGGGTGCCCGGCAGGGGCAGGGGCAATAGCAACGTTTTCTCCCCCCTTCCCGGTGACCGTTGCGCCTCCGGTGCCTTGGGCTCTTCCGCTTCCGGTGGCGGTGGCCGTCGAGAACACCTCGCTCGCGGCGTCGACGGCCGCGTCGTAGAAGCGCTTGAGCTCGTTCAGAGACGCGGCCTTCCTCTTTTTGGTGCCGCCGGCCGTGCCTGCCTCCGAGTCTTTGCCCCGCCTTTTGCGGAATGGCGGGTTCTGGCCGGCGTTCACCTCCCGGTTAATCCGTCGGACGTTCCGTCGCATGAATGAATACCTGGCGTAGGTCGACGCAGGTTTTTTGCTGCTGTCACTTTATGTTGTGGTGGGTACTGTTGTCAAGACGCTCTGCTGAAGCAATCGCTACAGTTGCAGCTAGCTTCGGGTGTAGGGCTTCGGTGATTCAGACGTGCTTTCATTTCCTGTAGGCTGGCGTAGGGGCGTTTCTACACACTTTGGAAAGGCGCGACGAACATACCATGTTTCTTGGTGAAATGTATGAGGACCTTTACTCTGTCGCAAGCTTGTGTTCTCTTTCGAAGCATCGGATGCTGTCACTAACATACTGCTTGGAAATCGGACCTGTTCTTCGATTTTTCTAAAACGTGTGTAGTGACCAGTGATGATCCAAAATTTTCCTCAGAACCAGAATCACAGGTGCGCCTCTCCGCGTCATTCTCACCAATGGTTCTTGACTTGGTTGTCCGTTCGTCCAGGCAGATGTTTGGCGATTTCGGCCCAGCGGTTCCCTAGCTCTCGGTGCTGCTTGCTAAGGGTGACCTCTTCCTCCTCCGACCACTCGCACTTCCGAATAGTAGGATCTGCGTCGAAAAAGAAAAACCCGGGTTGCATACTTCTGCCGTATTTTGTGGATGTGGTTTGGCACACGTCTTGGCAAAGAAAACTTGCCATCCTACGCAGCACTGGGTCAAGAGAGAGGAAAGTACTCGAGACATACCCATACAGTTGACGACCATGGTACTATTCTCGAGTTACCTGATCATGTGTCGATAGGAAATCAAGGAATAGCTTGCTTCTCTCATGCCCTCTCACCTCTCTCACTGTTTCAACCACTCCAACCATTCTTTCTTGCTGTCTCTCTTTGTATATAAGTTGTATACCGATATGGCACATACACGACACGCCTTTTTCATCGCTGAGCCGGTGAGCGCGGTCGGTCGACGAAGCGAATAAAAACCACCGCCCACGCCTCCAAACGTTTGAGCCCGGAAGCTGGACCATATCGTTCAACCTCCTCCGCACCCCCCCCCGTGCTCGTGGAGTTCGATGAGCAGAAAAACGACGCGCGTGCTTCTTATTCTCCTGCTAGACGTGACCGACTAGCCGATTGGCGCGGTCGATCCAAAGCTGAAGATGTTGTACACACCTAAATGGTTGTGCCAGCGCTCCCAACACTGCTTTCCCGACCTTCCCTGGTTGTTGTTGTATTCCAGCGCTAGATTCTCGGCTATCAGGGTCCATCCAGAGGTGCCGAACTTCTCCACAAGCCTGCGGACCGCATCATCTTCCTCGGCGCTCCATATCTGTCTGTTTGATATGAAACTGCGCGCCCCACGGCCACTTGCAGAGAGAGCAAGCGGGAGAGACAGACAGGCACGCAGAGATAGAGGCAGAGAAGCACAGAGAAGCACAGACAGTGACAGCGACAGAGAAAAAACACAGAGACAGAGACAGAGACAGAGACAAGGATAAATGATGAAAGTTACAGAGACAGAGACAGGGATAAATGATGAAAGTTTTTTAGGCGTTGGTCCACACTGTATTACTGAGCCACTGCCCACTCGTGTGGGCTAAAGAAGCCTTATTCCGGAGGCTCCAAGGGTCCGTGGCACAACCACACAACAAAGGCCTTTTACCCTCAGGTATAATGTATGTATCATCCCAGGAGAGATGGAAGGAGTACACTGTATCATGCGATTATCAGATCCTAGAGGGGCTCCGAGAGAGGTGGGTCGGTGTACGCGTGTGTTCAGTACGTGACTGGTGACTGGTGGCGTGGTCTGATACGACTTACGGCTGCTGCAGCTGCCTTATTTTGACCGCTATGTATAACGGGGTTGTTCCGCGGCGAAAATACACATGGACGTTATACTTTTCACAATTACTGCGGGGAAACACACGTTGTAGCCATTGCGTGTACACTACAGCTACAACTTCGTTTGTATGAGCTATATGATCGGGACCCCCAGAATCTGAGCATTGAGGCTCAGGCTGTCTTGCACACACACACTCCTGGTATACCTTTGACAGGGACGGAACGTATCCAGTCTCACCTCTTCTTTCCAGCTACCTTTTCTCCAACCGAAGGCAGAGGCGGGCGTGGCAGAATGCGCGAATATGCTCGCTCGCTCATGTCAGTTTGGTCAAACCTCAGGTGCAGCAGTCTAGACCATAGCAGTATTCTACCCTTTTGGCAACGCCTGCACACCTCGACCAAGCAGTCTGGTCGAGGGTTGGTCAAGTAGGAGTTATGCGAGCACCCAAAATGCGTCAAACGGTAGCTTTGAGCCCCTGTGGGACACAGCACCATTTAGCCTCTCATGAGCGCCGCGTGTGAACTATGCGGCGAAATTGATTAAATGTGAACGCGTGAATGCGGGGCAATTGATGTTAAACGACCCGAAACGCTCGGCGAACCGGCAGCTTGGTGGACGTGAGACGTGAGACGTGAGGGGAGAAGGAGAGATTACGGAAGGAGAGATGACGTGATATTTAGAGAGCAAACAGATCCACAGATAGACCCAAGGCTGATTGTACATATGAATATGCGGATATATGGCTTTCGGGTTATGCGATCGTCACACCTTCGAAGTGCGTATGTATGTCGTCTCCGCGTGACAAGAGAACATGCAACAGCATGCTTCTGGGCACGTATGTATGCTGTACAGCCGGTACACGCACAGCAGCAGTGCTACGTACACTTTCATCCGTGAACGATTTACTGTATGTACTGGGGGGTCCAAGGGTGTCTCCTTCGCGCTGCAAGTACAGAATCAATCGCCTTTCGCCGCATTTTGTTGCCCCTGGTGCATCCTGGAGACGTGTCCTGCTAAGCAACAAACTTGGTTTGTTACAGATGGCGAAAAATTACGCAAAATGCTTGCCCTGTGCGTGCACCAAGGTACACACACATAATCACGCCCTCCTTGGGCTTATGTCGAGTGAGCGTCTCATGATCAAACTTGCTCAGGGGTACGTTCAGGTTGTCCGACAAACGCTGAGGCGTACGACACATAGTCTCGTTAGACAAACCTAACAGGGCCTCACACAGCTTCCCAACTCAAACCAGAGCGTGATCTGATTCGCCAAGACGGGCCGGATCGGGAACCCCAACTCCTTTCCTTCCACGCCTGATCCGACCCACACCCCTCACACGGGTGTGTAATCGGAGTCCGAACTGAACCAAGCAACACTACAGGCCTTGGGCACCGATCAAATACAGCAAGTTGAATCTGAAGCAGTCACATCCAATTCTTGTTAGCCTTCCAGTGCTTGGAAAAAACATACTTCAATCCAGTTGGTCATGCTACCGAGGCAAATAAAGTGTTACGCCAAACAAAGGACGGGGATAACGAGTTTTGACCTACTCATAATAAATAATAATCAGCGCCCAGCGTTTCCATTTCCTACAAGAATGCTGGAAGGTGAGGTTTCAAGCCACGTCGGTGGGCCAAGCAGCATTTAGACAAAAAATCTTGGTATCATCTACCTCTTCTCGGCTTAGCTCCCACCGCCGTCGCCAAAAAAGAAACGTGTCTTGGAACAAAGATGACTTGACACACCAGCCGTACACGAAGACAAAAAACTACCGGTCCACAACTAGGCTTTTTGCCGCAAGAGGGTGAGAACCACAGTGCCCCTTCGCTGCTTGAGTCTCTCGATGGCATCCTGGAAAGAGCCTAAGTGGACCCCGTCCAGCTGCTCCAACGTGTCCCCCAACTGGACTCCCGCCTCCTGTGAAACGGCCGGAAGAAACGCAGCGCGGACACACAGGAAAGCGCGCGTGGTGTGTGAGGCGGTGGCAGCGGCCAGGGGAGTTGGCGTACGCTGCTCCTACTGTACCCACTTCTTAGACGACTCATCTCCCTTGGGAGGCGGAGGGGCGTTTCCACCCCTTACGCGCGGGAAGTGTGGGGAGGGAGGGGGAAGGGGGAGACAGGGACAAAATGAAAAAAAAAAACAGAACCAGCAGTGAGGGGGAGAAATAGTGCGAGAGGAGTGCGAACAGAAAACAACACATCCAACAAAAACAACAACACAAAGAAGATTTTCAACAAAACAAAACAAAGAAGAGTTTCAACAATCGGGACACACCACCGCAAATATCGATAACAAATTTGTCAGTGACAGCCAAGAAAATGGGCTCCGCGTTGACTCCATGACGTCGGCACGGCCGTGCAACACAAACACGATTGCGGTGGGCAGGACTGCCCACCCACGAAAAAAAAAAAAAGGAAACGGGGTACTTGTAGGCACCCACGAAAAAAAAAGTGGAACGGATCATCGGGGCCCGAAAAAAACAGCAATTCGTTCACGAGTAAAAACAAAAAGATAAAAGACTCGCCTGGCCGGGGTTGGGTTGCCCATCTGGCATGGGTCGGAACCCCTTCACGACGCAGCGGCTCCCTTCCTCCGCGAGGCTGAGCCCAAGCCCCATCGGCCCCGCCGTTACCGTTACCCTTACCTGCTGAGTGCTGCTCTTGCGGACCTGCATGCACAGGCCATGCGAGTGAGCCCCAACAGAGCAGTGGAAGGGACGGGAAAAATATCGGTGAAAAAAATATATATATCGAGCGTGCGAGAGACGGGCACGCTACGGTTTGTTCTCGGCGAGGAGAGGACAGCACGTGGTGAGAGGGCGGGTGGGTGCCACACCCACCCGGCAACAGCGACGACTACGACGACAACAGCGCAAAGAGATATAAAATCATGACATCGTGTGCCTAAGCTGTTCGTGTGCGGGAATTACCCGCCCCACCGCACTACACCGGTGATGAAAAAAAACATACAAAAACGAAAAAACAAACGGAACCAGAAACCACAACTCTGTTTGTGGACTGTCTGAGAGTTGCCCTTGCTGACCCTCCCACCAAACCAAAAAAATATAGGAAAAAAAAAACAGGCACCTCAAGGATGCACGGAGAAAAATGAAAATCACACCCACGTATTTACAAAGTTCGAACAAAAAATCGACTCAGCGGTGTACAAAAACTCAAAAACTCCACGGAACTTCATTTTGCACTTGTCCTTGAAGGGCACCTGTGGTAGGTTTGCTACTTTGTCGTGCCTCCCCCCACGCCCACCTGTATGTTCGCCATTGCGGCATTAGCCTTGCTTAGTCGGTCCCGCTTCTCCATGAGCTCCTCCTTCCTGAGCACGAGCTTCGCGTCCTCCTCGAAAAACCTCCCCAGCTTCGCGTCGTCGTGGACGAACTTGTAGCACTCCTCTGCGCGGTCGATCGATCGATCGATGGATCGATCAGCGGAATGGATTGGATAAGCAAAACACGGCGAGGCGACGACAGGGATGATGACAACGCTGCTCTCAAGAAGAAGACACGTTTACCCGCGCCCTGACCAAAATGCTGAGATGCTGCTACGTTGCAGCGCCTGCCTACTAGCAAGAATCATGGAAGACTCTTACTTTCGGAAAACAGAAAAAAGAGAAAAACAAAAAGAGAGAAAAAAAAGAGAGCTCTGCCGCCGAACCTGCACATAGTAATAGGTTATCCTGAGCATCTGTGCTTCACCGCTGAGACCAAAAATTTGAGGCACTCAGTCTTGCTCAACGCATGTGTTTCTTTTTGAGTGGGCCGTCACTCGATCCTTTTCAAACCAACTCGTGCTGTTTGTCGTGCTCGCCTATGGCCGGATCACGGCGAGGTATGTGACACCCTTGCAAAAGACACGCCGTTGCACTATCAGTTCGTCGTTACAGTATGGGTTCATCCCACTTCCGCGGGTCACTTCCGCGGGTCACTTCCGCGGGCTCGCTTTCCTCGTGACAACAACCACAACAAGCGAGCGGGAGGCGGATGGATGGATGGAACGAGTTGAAAAAATCCCAACGATAGAAATACCAAAACGAGGAAAAAACAACACACGAAGAACGAAAAAAGAGTGGCATCCAACCGGGGTCGACACGTACACCTGTGCACCAGCGACTACCACAACGCCACCGCTGCTGCTGCGTCTATAGTCGTAACCGCACCCTGCATCTTGTGGGCCACGGCGCCCATAATCTTCTTGTCCAGGGCCATGCAGACGTTGTCCACGAAGCGCTTCGCGGCGAGCAGCCAGTAGGCCTCCAGGATCGCCGACATGTCCTACAGGCAGGCCGAGCGACGTCCGCCACCAACAAGAGCGCACAGCGTGATAAGGAAAAATAGCGTGTTTCTCTCTCGCTTTCGCCCAGAAAAACTTGAAAAAAATGTGACCACGTACTTAAGCACAAGTAGGCGTGAATGCTGTTTCCTTACTTCATTGTACGCAATTCTACTGGTAGAATTTTTTCGTCTTGGGGGAGGACATACCATGCCATGTAGGCACGGGACACAGGCACTACAGCTTTCAGCCAGAGAACGCCAACAGAAGAAACACTTTCAGCACCGACGTCAGCACCACCACCAATACACTCGGGGGCCCGTAGAGAGGAACGTCCAAATCGGGTCGAGGCTCGGTTTCTTTATTCTGTTGAGCAGGTTGTTACATAGAGTTTTTTAAGTATAGGGTCATCGCTGAGGTGTAGTGCTTAACCCTATTTTCTTTCTTTCCCGCCATATATATTGGAGCCTCTGTTTCTTGACAACATATTCCAAACTGCGGCCCCCCCAAACCAGCCTCACCTCGGCGTTGCTGAAGCTGTTCACCCCGTGTGTGGTCCGGTACCACTGCCTGAGGAAGCTGCCGGCCTCCTCCTTCGCCCCGATCCAGCTCTCGTGGTTAGGCTTGACGGCCTCGAACGACTGCTGCACAGCCTGCTCGAAACGGTCGTACCGCAGCTTGTTGATGTGCTGTTCCAGGAAGTCGTTGATCTGCTCCCACGGAAAATTCGGTTTTCAATTGGAGAAGGGGGGGGGGTGAGATAGGCGGGCACACAAACGGGGGGGGGGGGGGGCCAAGGGAAAAGATTTTTTTTTTGGGGAGGGGGGAAAAGAAGTGTTTTTCCCGAAAAAAAACGGTTTCTGGGAAATTTTCGTGAAACGAAGAAAAAAGAAGCTGCCTGTGCCAAAGGGGTGCTTCCCCAAAACCCCCAAAAAAAAAAAACCCCCCAAAAACACTTTTCCAAAACCTTTCCTAAAAGGGACAAAACGGAAAAAAAAAAGGCCCCCCCCCCACCCCTTTAAAAAAAAGGCCTAAAAAATTTTTTTTACAAAACATTTCAGAAAACGAAAAAAAAAAAAAAATTCACCCCCAGGGCCAATTAGGGGGGAAAGAAAAACTCCCTCCTTTCCCAAAGGATTAATTCACCAACACCGATGAAAAATTTCCCCCTTTCCAAAGTTTGTTAAAAAAAAAAAAAAAAAATTTTTACCCCCCAACATAATTCGGAATCATCCACAAACGCCCAAGAAAAATTTCCTTTTTCCCAAACCCACCAAAAATTAAAAAAAC